TGCTGCTGCTGCTCGCGCAGCTGCTGCCTCAGCGGCAACAATAGCAGCAGCAGGAACTGCCACGAATCTTTGGGTTCGTTTCTTTGTCTGTAGGCATCATTGCTGCAGCAATTGGTGCAGATTAGCAGCAGAAGATCGCTGGTGGCTGCTGCTGCTGCTGCAGCGCAGCCCAAAGGCAGTGAACGGAGCAGGAGCAGGTGCTGCTGCTGGAGTGCTGCAGCAGCTGCAGCAGCAGCAGAAGCTTTAAGAAATACGCTCAAAGTCCGATTTCTTCTGGGAGCCTTTTATTGTGCTACACGCTGCGGCGGCGGCGGCGGCTGCGGCTCCCTCGCTGCTGCAGCAGCAGCAGCTGCTGCTGTTGCTGCTCTCCCGACAAAATATCTTCAGCAGCTGCTCAGCCGAAGCACAGAGCAGCCACCAGGCCCAGGAGCAGCAGCAGCAACGGCATAGACAATTTCACCTGCTGCAATCGGTCCAGGTGCAGCAGCAGCAGCAGCATAAGCATCAGCAGCATCAGCAGCAGCCGCTCCTGCCTTCCTTCTCCTCCGAGAGCGGAACACAGAAGCAACCAGCCTTCAGTATTTGGTTGAGGAGAACTTGAATCACCAGAAGGAGCAGCAGCAGCAGAACTTGCTGCAGCAGTATCAGCACTAGCAGCAGCAGCAGAAGCAGCAGCAGCAGCAGCAGCAGCAGCAGTGTGTGGAAGGCCCGCAGGCCGTAATGCCAGGGTTACCACTGAAGCTTTTGAGCAGCAGCGTAGACAGCATCAACAGTATCGGCAGCGGCAATAACAGCAACAGAAACGGCAGTGGCAGCTAAAGCAGCAGCAGAAGCAGCAGCAGCAGCAGCAGCAGCAGCAGCAGTGTATGGCTTTGCACGGCAATGCACGACGCTGCTGCAGACCTGCTGTAGTTAGCCGAGCTCATTTATTCCAAAGACTGCAGCAGCTGGAGCAGCAACACCAACATATATACAGGAAGGACCAGCAGCAGCAGCAGCAACAGCAGCAGCAACAGCAACAGCAGCAGCAGCAGCAACAGCAGCAGCAGCAGCAGCAGCAGCTGATCATGGGAGCGCAGTGCACAAAGAACGCAGCGGTGCGCCCCACTTCAGCAGCAGCTGCTGCTGCTCCTCGTGCAGATTCTTCTGCTGCCCCTTCGCCTGCTGCTGGGTGTAGTGACGATGTTGCTCACGGGGAGGTGCAGCACCAGCACCAACAGCAGCAGCAGCAGCAGCTTCCAGCATATCAGCAGCAGCAGGAGCAGCAGCTGCTGCGCGAGCAGCGGCTGCGGCTGCAGCCAGAGAGGCAGCAGCAGCTGCTGCTGCAGTCAGGAGCGAGTGTCTTTAGTGAGGTAGGGGCTTCTGCTATGGGGGCAACGGGATCCTCTACCCAGGGAGCAGCAGCAGCAGGCGCTGCTGCTGCTGCTGCTGCTGCTCGACAGCAGGGTGGTCCTGGGGGTGTCCAGGGGTGGGCTGACGGGCCTGGTGCGGAAGGCAGCAGCAGCAACAGCAGCAGCAGCAGCAGAGGGCAGCGAGGTCAGCTGCATATGTACCCGGGAGGAGACCCTATGTCCTCAGCAGCAGCAGCAGGGGATCCTGCAGCAGCAGAAGCAGCAGCAGCAGCTGCTGCTGCTGCTGGTGCTGCTCGAGGAAGAGGGAGGACGCGAGGCCATGTCTGCAGGGAGCGGCATTCCTTTGAGGTTGCTCCCTGCGGAGCAGCAGCAGCAGCAGCAGCAGGACGGGACAGCAATCAGCGACCTTCGTGTGCTGCTCTACATCGTGAAGATGCTGCTGCTGCTGCTGCTGCAACAGCAGCAACAACAACTGCTGCTGGGGGAGCAGCAGCAACAGCAGCAGCAGCACCTGGTCGGCAGTGCAGCGGCTGCAGCAACTGTAGCAGCACACATATGGAGATGCAGCGTGTTACAGGCATCAGCAGCAGCAGCAACAACAACACAACCAACCCCAACAACAACAACAACAACAGCAGCAGCAACAGCAGCAGCAGCAGCAGCAGCAGCTATGAAGAATATGAGCAGCAGCTACTCATGGAGTCCTCCCTTGTTGGCTCCTTCTTAATGCTGCCATGGAGCGAAGAAGACAAAGACATACGCAGCAATTTTTATTTAGATTGTGATCCTCCAGACAGCAGCAGCAGCAGCAGCAGCAGCAGTACTTGCTGCTCTGCTGCTGCTGCTAATGCTAATGCTATACAGACACAACCCGTTGCTATACATAGTAGGGTACCTCCTCCTAGTGCTGCTGCATCACTACCTGCAGCAGCAGGATCTGCTGCTGCTGTTGGTGGTCGATCTATGGACCAGCAGCATATGCAGTATCTGCAGCAACTGCAGCAGCAGCAGCAGCAGCAAGCAAAGCAGCGGGAAAGACGCATGCAGATGGATTCAGGATCTGCTGGTTTATATATAACAGATGGTTGCTGCGGAGGCAGCAGCTCTGCTGCTGCAGATGCATCTGCAGCAGGAAGAACAGGAGGAGG